GGCGTGGGGGGCGGGGCAGGGAAGAGGGGTGTGTTCAAGGGGTTTTCATTTGTTTTGGTTGGGAAGCATACCTCACTAGATGACCAGTTGGTCTCTTCCTCCTTGTTTCTGACTCCAGCAAATAACTTCATGTTTATATAACTGGTACCAGTAATTGGTATTCTACTGCTTAAACTTGTGTGTTCTTAATTTCATTCCCTGTTTAATTGTATAGTGCCTTTTGTAAAAACATAATTGACTAAGTTGCATGACACTGTGAAGAAATAGTGTAATTTGTTGCCAGTTTTAATTCTCTAGGTTGTGCTGCTTTGTATGTAATTGAGAAAAAAAAATTAAAGTCTCCGCCTTTATTAAACAAGACTGAACCAGGTCCTGTTAAAGCCCTATGGATTATTTTCATTGGTTACCTTTTACAGTTTTCCAAATGAATGAAAAGAGACTACAGAAAAAAAAGTGCAACCTTTCACTCTGTGTTACTCTCAAGAGTGGTGGTCGGTTTTGTTGGGATTTTTACGGCTCCTTTGAACTTGAAAATCCAATAAGTAAACCTCGTTTTGTTATCTTCAGTTTCTATGAACGTGTATCTTTTCCATTAAATAAATTTTGAATACTGAGTGATTTCTTGGGGAGGGGAGAGACTCTTCTAGATCTCACAAAACAATTCTTTCATCATCAGAAATCTAGGCTGATCATCGGTACATTATAAAATTGGTACAGAGAAACAGAACATTTGTGGTGTGGTTTTTTTAAGTCTCATTTGTATAAGATGTCTCCTATTCTACTTGGAATCTCATCCACAGATTCCCAACTCTTTGAAGTTTCCTTGAAGATCCTGGAGCCCTTCAAAATTTTTGAATTTCAGGTAGGTAAGCATTTGCGCGGATGCATGCGTTAAATTGGTCGACCCTCTCCCTATGTCTGCATCTGTGCTTCATGCTCCTAATTTCTTTTTGCTGTCAGCTAGGCAGAACATTCAGGCTTAAAACACTATGTCTTTTTTATCCTTGATTTTTATAGACTGTGTTCTTGTTAAAATATTTTGGCTCAGTGTTTATTAATAAAACAACATAGGAGTTTTTAAAAATATTCAGTAGGTTTTTTGATTTTTCCCTTTTCCTTTTTTTAAGACAAAAAGAAAATCTTTGCATTTCAGACAGATGAGGCTGATCTCTGGGTCTGCACAGACCTGTCAGAACTTCGTTTATTTTTTCAGGTTTGTTTGTAGTACTTTTACAGAAGTTCTGTTTTGTTCAGATAGATTTTCTTCTTGATATGTTCAGACTTGTAAAGAAGTGCAGATCTTATGAGGGTGCTGCTGTATCATAATCTATTATTCATTTGAGCTAGATTTGAAGACTGAGGAAAAAGGACTTTGGTGTTCTTTGTAGTTTACGCATTCAGGCGTCTTCATTTGAAGACTTTTTAGTGAGGTCAGAACAACCAAATGGATCTTTTATCAAAAAATGTCTTTGTGTTATTGAATATCATCTGTCACCAAATGTGTTTTCATATAGATTATGTCACCTTTTCTTCCTTTAAAGTCTCCCTGTAAGCATGGTTGAATGTTAATAATTCAATTAGTGGTGATAGTGATCTTGAAAAACTACAAGAAGTCCAAATACTGCTATTCTGTAGCCCATACAAATATACCCTTGCCACCGGACTGCTGTTTTGCTTTCCTAAGAAGTTGATCTGCACTCTCAAGACTTGGAATTCTGATTCTTTCAGTAACTATTTACACATTGATTCCAGTCAATACTGTTCAGCTGGTTCCAAAAGTTCCCTAGGAAGCAAACCTGCAGAACATTTAATTGCTAGTCACTGACCCCCACAGAGATGCACATGTAGATACGTTGTAATGTTAGAATTCAAGTGATCTGTCGGTAAAGACGTCCAAGTTTTGTCTAAACTAAAATACTGTATTTGTTATGAACTATCATACTGTTGTTTTCTGATTCTCATGTGCAAGACACATCTTTCCACTAGTAAACTGATTTCCAGAGTATTCTATTCTTTCAGTATGTTTTGTTAATGTAGAAGAGAATAGGTTGGGTGATGTCTTAAAGCCAAGAAAAAACAAGCAATGCAAATGATTACTTGTACTGAAATAACACAAAATCCAATTCCAAGTTTAGAGGACTTTGTAGTAAAAGATTCCCCTTATTACACAGAGCTGAAGATGCTCTCTGTTCTTTGCAGATTAAGCAAAAGCTTCTGGGAAACAACATATAATGATGAAAACAAGAGCAGAAAATAAAGGTTCTGAAATTTATTTCTGTCTCTCTCAGACTTAACATCTGGTTTTTTTGATGGTTTTTTTTGTTTGTTTTTTAATGCTCTTCTGTAGAAATAGTGTGGTGGTAGCAAATGCCTTTAGCATGCTCAAAATTGTCAGATCTTTTAAAAATTTTGAGTGGAAATTGACCTTCGTACTAGGTATTGAGCAAAATGGGGATGCATTATGTATATTCGTGTTACAGCGTTGGTTTATATTTATTCCAGAGCTACTTTCAGAAGTAGTATTTCTTTCTTCAGTTTGTCCCAAAATACCTCTATATTCAGAACTTTTCTTCCTGAGCATTTTGTTGCATGATCCTGGGAAATTTTTCAGGATGTCAATAATTGCTTTTATTAAAACACTGTGAAGTGAAACAGGTCATGGTATAGTAACTTATTTTTTCCTTTTTAGCTAGTAAAAATTACTTACCGATTAAAAAAAGTTTCAGTTTTTTTAGATAGCTGTTTTTTTGTACATTTCATAGTTACATCCTTTTTTTCCATGTAGGGCATGGAAGTGGCATCACTTTTGCTTCAGTTTCTTGAGGCTTGTTTTTTTGTGTTCTAATCAAGTGTAGTGGGAATACCATTTTTCCATAAAGGTGCTTTTAAAATGTATTTGAAAATAGAAATTAGCAGCTCCCTTATCACCATGAAGCTTTGCATCACTGTTCTTCAGGCCACTTTTTTATTTTGTCATTTCACTAAGAGTAATTGGGGTGCAAGGTTCAGCTTGTTGAATCTTTTTTTTCTTGTAATCTTGATAGTTCTAGGAAAGAAAATAATATACAAGTTGCAGCATTAGGTTTGGTGGTAAATTACAACCTGACGAATACTGCTTTCAAGATTTGTTTACATTTGTTAGTTTTCATTCTATGGTGTAAGCAATAGCATACAAGTAGGTTTTTTTCCTATATTGGTAACAGTATTCTTCTGCTGTGAAAAGTGTCTTTTGGGAAAATTTCTGCTTAAACTTAACCCATCCCAGTTTTTGATATAGTGTAATTCAGAACATTCTTTAAGCATTGCTTTTTGGCCTTTGATGCTGTGATCATCTGATGTGGTTTTTTTTTCTACCCTGTTTTCATAATCTTCACCCTTTTTGTCCACTAAAGGCAAACTGCACAGAAATAGTAAAATTGCTGCCCTTATCTTAATTACTGATACTTGTGGTTTCATTTTTTTCCCACATAACATTGATTTTTTTTTTTATATTAGAAGTATTCGGGCTTAGAGGGGTTGATAAAAGGACATCTCTAATAGCGTTAAAAAACCCTGCAATCTGAGCTATACTTCCCTAGCTCTGAATCATTGATACTATCATTTCATTCATTCATTTAGAAGAGGAGGTGATTAAGATCTGATATTTCAGAAGAACAAAACTGAATAAAAATTTCAGGTCTTTATACTGGAAATGTGAATAAAAATATGTTTATTTTTTACTTTGCAGTTTGCCTTTGAGAGGCTCTACTTTACTATTATCTAAAGAGTGGGAATATGTGGAGGAGATCCAAAGTAGGAGAAAATGGGGTTACTTTATCAGAAACTGGAGTTCTCCTATTGGGTCATCTCCTCCACTCACCCGCCATCCTCCCCACTGAGCTTTGCATCCTTGTGATCGGCTTCCAGTGTAGTTAAGGGAGCGTGGTACCAACGTGGATAAAGGGAGATGGGTCAACCTGTTTGACACATGCATGCTTACATACAAGAAATTCAAAATTTCAATGGCTCTAAGGTAATTGTGGCACCCCGAAGAAACTTCAAACAGTGTTTTTCTGTGGAGGAGATTTTCCAATAGAATTCCAGCTAATGGTAAGTAACCCTATTATGCATATTACGTAGATGCCAGAAACATTTGTGTATTTTGCCACTCAACGGTGAAGAGTATAAAATGAGTCTTACTATATGGTAATACTACTTAATCTCTTTTGAAGGTAGTCTTCAAAAAAGTGTGGTGTTATTCAAAGTCCAGTTCAGTGTATTTTCCAAGTTTGTGACTGTTTAATTTCTGGCAGGTTTTACAGTGAATGACAGCTACAATCAACAGACTCAATTTCCAGCTGTACAGCAGCTGCAGGATTCAAGCACACTTGAATCTCAGGCTCTTTCAACGAGTTACCATCCACCAGCCCTTCTTCAGGTTCCAAATACAGACACTATTAACGTAGTAAGTACTGCTGGAAGGCAGAATTCATTGTTCTGTGTTCAGTGATGAGTTTCTTTGAGCTATTTCATTGGTGATTAGGTAAACTGAGAATTCAGAAAAGTTTCGTGTTTTCTTTTCTAGATTGCTTATGTTTAACAGCTGGAAAACAAAAGGGCGGGGAGGGAGGATAACTGACCTGGCTACATGTTTCTAAAAAAGTTTTACGTTTTGATGCTTTAGGTTTAAAAAGGATGTAATGCTATGAAGTTGGATCATAAGTCTAATACTAAGGAAAGGACCTAATGTTATAAAATAATTTTACATTATTGCACTATATTCTGTCCTAATTATTTAATTTCTATGGGTAGAGATATGATCAAGCAATAAAAATAACATTACAAATTTGTAGTGATCATTCATGGAGCTTGCATGTTGCAGTGTGTGATGGTCTTCCGTGATTCTCATCTGGTTAAATTTGTAAAAGAGCTTAATTGCTTAAAACACAGTTTAAATGTAACTTTCTGTGATGGTAGCAGTACCTAGCATGAAGACTATCTGTAGTAATGTGTTTACCGTGATGACCTGCATGAATTAGAATCATAGAATCATTAAGGTTGGAAAAGACCTCTAAGATCATCGAGTCCAACCGTCAACCCAACACTACCATGCCCACTAAACCATGTCCCTAAGCACCTCATCTACACGTCTTTTAAATACTTCCAGGGATGGTGACTCTACCACTTCCCTGGGCAGCCTGTTCCAAGGCCTGACCACTCTTTCAGTAAAGAAATTTTTCCTAATATCCAACCTAAACCTCCCCTGGCACAACTTGAGGCCATTTCCTCTTGTCCTATCGCTAGTTAGTTGGCAGAAGAGACCAACCCCCACCTCACTACAACCTCCTTTCAGGTAGTTGTAGAGCGTGATGAGGTCTCCCCTCAGCCTCCTCTTCTCCAGGCTGAACAACCCCAGTTCCCTCAGCCGCTCCTCATAAGACTTGTTCTCTAATTATTGTCCTTTCATCCATGTTTGCAAAGGACAAATGTCAGTCAGAGGACTGAGGTGGGTTTTAGGATCTGGAAGAGTTTGAGTAATTTCAGCGTACATGCTTTGGAGTTTTCTTCTCTTCAAATCTTACAATGTGCTGTCATTCTCAAGGATTATTCTGTGATAATTTTTGCTTAGAGGAAAAACCTGTTCAAAAAGAAGTGAAGTCTTTCAGCACCACTGTGCATTTTACTACTCAGTGTGAGGCTCATACTGTTTAAAATAGCTGCTTTAGTGTTAAATTTAACCCCTCAAACACCAGAAAAATCTACGAGACTCGAGACATGTTTTTGTCTAGATTGACAGGGAGGTGTAAGTGCACCACATCGTCTGTTTATTCTGATTCAGTAGGCACACATTTTGCTGCTTTCCTTCTCACTATGAAAGAGTGAGGTATCATATTGCACTCTTAATTTCTTGTAAAAAATTTATGAAAGTATCATTTTGATTACTTGTGTTGACTGTAAATGCTATAATCTTTTCTCGCCTATTTGTGTGACTTTATTTCAGTATTGCATTACTGAAATTTACTTGAGGCTTTGATTTCTAGACTACTCGCTTGATACAAGATCAGTCATCGCAAGAAGAACTTGACTTGCATACCCAACGGCCTCATTTTCTTGAGGATAATGAAGATCAAAGCAGGCGTTCGTATAGGTTTGTTACACTTTTAGGTTCTGTCACAGAATTTCCTGAATCTTTTATGGCTAGTAATTATATACAACTAATGAAAACAATTTTCTTCTGATAGATGTGAATATTGCAACAAGGGTTTTAAGAAATCCAGCCATTTGAAACAACACGTACGATCACATACTGGTGAGAAACCTTATAAATGCCAACTCTGTGGCCGTGGCTTTGTTTCCTCAGGAGTTCTTAAGTCACATGAGAAGACTCATACAGGTAACAAGAGTATACCAGCTCTATGTTAGCTTAACTCACGTTTGGGTTTTGTAAGTAAACTTAAACAAATGGCATGCTACTTATTTGTTTCTGTTACTTTAAGGAGTTAAAGCATTCAGCTGTAGCATTTGCAATACCTCCTTCACAACTAATGGCAGCCTTACGAGGCACATGGCAACTCACATGAGCATGAAGCCTTACAAGTGCCCATTCTGTGATGAAAGCTTTCGAACAACAGTTCACTGCAAAAAACATATGAAAAAACATCAGGCAGTCTCCTCAGCTGTAGCAGCAGCTACAGAAACAGGAGGGGGAGGTAAATTATTTCATTTTTACTCTTACAGTCCTTACTACAACACAAGTACAAATGTTTCAGTGGATTACACGAATGCTGTAACAGTAATGTTACAAATTAGCGTTCCAGCATGGATAATGTCTAATGTCCACAGCCACTGAAATTGCTCTGTTATGTAAATTGTTTAAAGAAATCAGTTTTCCAGGAGTAGGACGTGTTTTGTCCTAAATTACTTATACCTGTATTCTATTATTGTAAAAATAAGAATTATAAATCCAGCTTTATTTAGAAGAAATATAGACATGAGTAGTTAGACCTCTGAAAGAGATTTAAGTCCAAGCACGTAATGTAGTGGCCATGTGTTTAATAATAAACCTTTCTATTTATGCAGTTTCAGCTGAAGATTAAACTAAACAGATGTGTGTATTTTTTTTTTTTAATAGTTGGATGTGTTGAAGATGATGATGAAAACTCTGAAAGAACTTCCAGAAAATCTCGTCCTGGTGTCATAACTTTTACAGAAGAAGAAACAGCAGAACTGGCAAAGATTAGGCCTCGAGAAAGTGCCACTGTCTCAGAAAAAGTTCTTGTCCAGTCTGCTGCGGAGAAAGACAGAATTAGTGAGATCAAAGATAAGCAAGCGGAACTGGAAGCAGAGCCCAAATATGCCAACTGTTGTAGTTATTGCCCCAAAAGCTTTAAAAAACCCAGTGATTTAGTCAGGTAAGGAATGGAAAAGTTTTGTGTATTTTTAATTTTATAAATTGTTCAACAGAAACTTAGCAGTAACAGTTTCAAATAACTTTTTTATGCCTAAGCTAAAGTTTGCCTCATATTTACATACATTCTTCTTTTTCAGAACGGTTTAAAAATGTGTCAAAATGTTATATATTCTGAACATGACTAAACCAACCTTTTCGTATTTCTTTTCCTGCAGTATTGAAATGATTATTATGAAGTTTTAGAATAATCTTTTTTTTCTTGCTATAGGACTTGCATATAAAAACATTTTAAAATCAGTTTGAAAAAGGCAAATGCTTAAATAATCTTCTTTACTAGTTCTGCTTAATGTAATGTTAATATAAGTACTCAATTAATTCTAAAACCAGTAAGATACAAAATAAGTATTTTTACAGACTGATATAAAAGTAGAAATTCATATATAGATGTATTCTGGAATTCTTAGGCATGTTCGTATCCATACTGGAGAGAAGCCGTATAAGTGTGAAGAATGTGGAAAGAGTTTCACTGTAAAATCCACTCTGGATTGTCATGTTAAAACGCACACAGGTCAGTAAGATTTTGAATGTCTTTGTTTAGAAACCAGTTACTTTCTTGACAGGCTGTTTTAACTGAGGATTTTGCAAGGAATGGTATGTTTCACTGTGATCTCGGAAATGGCACTATGAATGGCAGTGCTAGGTGAAATTTGGTACTTACTGCATCATCAAATGAATTATATTATGATATTGTTAATAAACCATATTATTACAGCCTTCCATATTAGGCTTATAAAGCAGTCATAGTCTTAGCTCCTGGAAAAACTATGTATGTATCTGTAATATTTTAATTTCAAATCTGTGGTAGCAGTTCAATGCTAAATGATTTTCCTGAGCAAGAGGGTGGAGTTGGAGGATTTTATAAAATAAAGAAAAAAATTATGAACGTTAATGTTTGTGCTGCTAAGTAGATTGAAAGAGTACAAAAAATTTGAGTATTTAGCTATTTGAATCATGCAAGTTGAATGTAAACCTGATTTTTGTAATATTTAGGTTTTTACAGTAGTTTCGTTGTATTCCTGAGAGAGGTCTGATTTTAGTTAGTAGTATTTTTCAACCCCAATTTTGCATAAATTAAAAAAAACCTCTTTAAATCTTTCATACTTGTTTTCTTCTTACCATTGAACTTCTGTAATAAACCCAATCCTAAACCAATTAATTTCTAAAACTGGCTACAGTTTTACAAAGGTGCATTATGAGCTTTTTTCAAAAATGCAAAAAATGGGTTTTCAGCTACAGTGGCATGTTTTCTGCCAGATATTTACATTATGCTTTTTGTGCGTTTTACAATTGCGCATATGGTTAATGAAACGGACTCCGAAGTTAACTGTTGTTACTTGTAGTATGTTAAAAATTCCATTTGAGACCAAGGATTTATTTTTAAATCTTACACGATCTGAAAGGAGAGCAGAGAAAGATGACTGTGTGTATAGACCAGATTTTTGGACTTCTAGATTACTTTAAGATGGTTGGTATTTTGTTTTAGAATATTATCTCACTTACAGATTTTATTCGTTTCTTACTTGCAATCCATTAATACTAGTCAGTATTGAGGTAAAGGCTGAAACAGAAGAATAAAGCTGCTGGAATTAAAAAGGAAACGAGTGGCTAAGTAAGGAGAAGCCAAATGCTCAAGAGGTTGAGATTAAACTTTTAATTCTCCAGTTTTATGCGCTATGTAGTTCAAACTTGATTAGTCAGGAAGGTGAGAGATGATGATGAGAACAGAGACATCAAGGTGACCAAATAAGATTCTGCATGGAAGTTTTAACAGCATATTAACTTTTAGAAATAGGAAAAAATTAAGATACCCTTCATTGAGATCCTTGATTCATTTGAAAAGCAACCAAAACTGTAAAGAAAAAGGCTAGTTATTTCCAATTTATTCTGTTCAAATGAGTGAAGAATCTGTATTTTTTTGAATTGTTGGTACAGTGCTATTGATTTTTAGAGGTTTTATCACTTATTTTTCTGTTTTTGAAACTTTTCCAGGCCAGAAGCTCTTCAGTTGTCATGTATGCAGTAATTCTTTTTCTACAAAAGGAAGTCTAAAAGTCCACATGCGTCTGCATACAGGAGCAAAGCCTTTTAAATGTCCACACTGTGATTTACGGTTTCGTACTTCAGGGCGCAGAAAAACCCACATACAGTGTCATTATAAACCAGAGACAAAGAAAGTTAGGAAGCCTGTTGCCCGTACTTCAGCTGAGGGACTACAACCAGTCAGTCTTCTTAATTCATCCTCAACAGACCCTAATGTTTTCATCATGAATAACTCTGTTTTGACGAGTCAGTTTGATCAAAATTTACTTCAGCAAGGACTTGTGGGCCAGGCTATCCTGCCTGCTTCAGTGTCAGGTAAAAATGGATTACTTTTTGGTGGTGGTGTTGAGATCAAGTACTGAACTTTGCTTTGTATTAGAGTTCAGAAAATTATGCCAAACACTACTTCCAAAGAGGTAAGAGTTGTACTGAATTCGTGATTTGATGCACGGTGGTGACATAAATAGAAATAAATTTATTTAAGAATGAAGAGGAAAATGTATGCAGTTCACCTAAAAAGATCTCTTCAGTTTTGTTGTAGTGTTACGCTGCAGAAAGGAGGGAAATACAGATAACAAATAGCTGGAGTACGTGTATTCTTTCTGGTAATACTCTTGCCTTTTCTGAAAAAGGAGAGAAGCAAAACAGTTATTCTGTAAGCTTTCCCTTCCGCAAGATGTATTTTGTATTCAAGCATTAGGTCATAGAGCAAAGAAAAGTTTGTCTATGCTAGTTATTTACATAAATAATGAAGAGTGTGTTTTAAGTAATGCTTTGCTGTACATGCGTAGTTAATGGACCAAAATAAAAAGAAAAAAACCACACACCCCCAAAAAACCCAACTAAAAAAACAAAACAAGGAAACACTTTAGCGATACAAAAAACTTCTAGTGTAGGCATGTATGCTAAATAATTAAATGCCTAGGATACGAAGTCTTACTAGGTCTTACCAATTGACAGTGACTACAGCTGCATTAGCACATTAAATGTGCCACAACCATTCTTTGACTCTGAGGCCAACTGGCACAGAATATCCAACGTGCTTCATGTTGCAAGTAAATGACCTTTTGAGAATGATCCTTGCTAACTGCTAAATTGCTTTCAGGAGTTGTTCCTGTAAGTGCTAGCTGGCCTCAGGCAAAGTTGGGACAGGATGCGGTTTTAAGAGAAGAATGGTGTTCAGGTGTCTGGAAATGTTCCCTGGTTCTTTTACTTACTTACTACTTAAATTGTGGGTCTTGGACTGTCTGTCCATCACTTCTGAAAGTGAGACTTTGATTTTCTGTACTTTGGCACTTTTTTCAGTACATATCTATGATTTTGAAGGTATGCCCACAAATTCACAGTTATGTATGAGTCTCATATTTAACTGTAGTCATTCCAGCTTACCTGATTTAACCTAAATTGTTGTCCAGAACCAGCAAACTGTTGGTTGTTCAGAAGATACTGGTAAATGTTACTTGACAGGCACCGTTTGTGATAAATTTGTGATTAAAAACTGTCTGATGTTCGCTTGGATTTTTGAGTGAACACAGTAAGGAGGAGTTTCTAGCATGTTCAGACGTCCTAGAAAGAGGGAGGAGCCTTCTTAAATCGAGATTAGTGATTTGTGTTTTGCCCAGAGCAGGTATTTCTTGGGTGCATTGTAAAGCAAATTGATTGTACTAAAGGATTATGGAGAGGGAAGGATAGATAGATAGATGTTTTCGAAGCATCAACCAAAGGAGACTGGTTGATCTTACTGAAAGTGTTTGGAGAAGAAGGTATGTCAAACATAAGGTGACTTTTTCCATATATTCTCTCAAGACCTTTTGTAGAGACGGTCTATTCAACTTCTGAAATTAGGAGCTTTCTAAGTTCTAAAGATTTTGTATTTCAAATGCTAATGTGCTTTTATTTCCATCCATGTGAGTACATAGGATGAACTTTGACACCTTCTTGAACAATGTTTGAGCTGTGCAAAAATGTGGCAGTAGCTTTCATGTGTATGTTCAGAGTCAGAATGTACGTATCATGTGTGAGTGCTGCTTGTATTTAGGCGTGGCACACTCTCCAACGAAATTTATACCAAATTTCTCCAGGTTTCCAAAGCTACTCTGGCGTGGTTCTTGTTTTGTAAGATGCTAGCTAGTGCTTAAATAATAACAATCATTAATCGCATAGAATTTATGAAGCATTGAAATAGGCAATCATCTGCTTCAAATTATTTTCTTGGCATAAATAAATGTGTGTGTGTGTAGCTTTTGTATTGATTTAATTTATAAAAATAAACAAGCTAGAAGAGGCAGTCAGTAATGATAAAGAAAAACATTATAATATGACTGTTTTCTTTGGTAGCTGGAGGTGACTTAACTGTGTCCTTGACAGATGGTAGCTTGGCCACTCTTGAAGGAATACAGTTACAACTTGCTGCTAATCTAGTTGGACAAAATGTTCAAATTTCTGGAATAGATGCCACCAGTATTAACAACATAACATTACAGGTAGGTTGCTTGCAGTTTCTTGCTTTTAATTTTACAGAGTCACATTGAGGTCTAAAGGAGATTTAATGAGCGTACGTACTTGTGGAAGAGTTCTCTTGAGTTGAGTGAAGCACGTGGAAATACCATGCTGTATCAATTGTACCATGTTAGAAGACTTAGACAATAGCTGCACGGTGGTGATTTTTTCCTGTTCTGGTTTCTTTCAGTTTTTCAGGGGTTTTTTTTTAACACCTCTGGGATTTTGGCAGATTGCTTAAAAATCCATATTTTTTCTTTTAATTGCATTTTGTCTTTTCACTTTAAAAGCATTTTAGGCTAAAGCTCCCCACCCCCTCCCCCAGAAGAACCCCCCCCAGAAACAAACCAACCCAAATTATTGCACAGAACGTTCTTTTCCTTAACATAACACACCGGTGTTATTTGGCAAGTTTTTAATACTTGGATTCACAATTTAAATTCCCATTGAGCTTGTAAAATGAACAACAGATAAAGGTGTGATGATTACATTTAAAAATTTATATTTAAAATTATGTGAAAGAACAATTTTGACAAACTGGGTTGTGTTTGATTGGTTTCACAGAATCATTGAGGTTGGAAGAGACCTCTGGAGGTCACCAGGTCCACCCCAAGGTCAGGGAAGGGTCCTCTTCAGAGTTGCATTGGGTTGCTCAGAGTCTGTCTACTAAAGAAGTTTTTAGGATAAAATGAAGAAAACCGTATTTTAATTTTGTTTCCCCCAGTCCCCAAACACTCATCCCTAAAGAGTAAAATGTCTATTTTTAACTATCAAGAACAGATATTTGACTGTGAACTGAGACCTTAATGACCCTAAGAGCTGAAAAAATAGATAATTTCTGATATCGGTCTTCTCTCTGCTCCATGCCTTTTCACTTTCAAAGACCTGAAGACAGTGATAAGCGTTACATGCAGCAGTAAGACAGTACAGGATCCCAGCTTTGTGGGTACCTGGTGCCCAGCATTCTCATATGTAACTACGATCTTGATTTCCCAAACATTTTGCTGAGGGAAGGGAGGGAAGAATCTACAGCTGAAGACTGTTTGTATAGTGACTTTGGAGACTGGCTATATACAGACACTTAAAAAATAAATTTGAGTTTAAAATGTTTAATTATAAAGTTTGTATATTATATATACTCTATGTGCAACCCTTTGAATTCTAGATTTATGTTAAGACTAAATCCATATTTGTTAACTTCAGATTGATCAGATTGAAAACTTGCTTTTCAGATTGATCCAAGTATTCTACAGCAGACGTTACAGCAGAGTAATTTACTTGCTCAGCAGCTAACTGGGGATCCCAGTATGGCTCCACAAAATGCCTCCCTCCAGGCAACAGAAAATGCAGTGCCAGCTAATGTGGTTATTCAGCCTATATCAGGCCTGTCTTTGCAGCCCACAGTAACATCTTCTGCTAACATGACAATAGGATCCCTATCGGAGCAAGAGTCTGTGCTGACAACCAATGCTAGTGGTAAGCAGTGTCAATAGTTTTATTGTGCTTTGAATGTCTTAGTTTTAGTTACGGTGTTACCCACAGTGAGAAAATCTGCCCCCCTCCCCCAAATAAGCATACAGTTCTTGTATCAGCATATTCAGCAAATTTTACGGCTTTGTTTTACCATTTTTGAATATGATTTTTTCAGAAGGTGGACTATATAATGAAAATATTGAACAACATTTAGTCTTTAGAAACATACAAAATCTTTGTTCTGAAGATCTTAACCTGCAGAGGAATAAATTGGATATGAAAACAATTTCTTCTTTAAAGTACAAGTTCTAACATCTTCCCCTGGCTACATCTTTAATAGTAGTTTAGAAAAGAATATATTAATTGCTTTAAAAATTGTATCTATTATAAAAAAACGATCTTCATGGATTTTTTTTTTTTTTTTTTTTTTGTTCTACCCGCTTGTATTTAGGTGCACAGGACATCTCTCAAGTCATGACTTCACAGGGTATGGTATCATCTTCAAATGGACAACATGAGATAACATTGACCATAAATAATTCCAGTTTGAGTCAAGTTCTAGCTCATGCTTCGGGTTCTAGTACTACAAGCTCATCAGGAAGTCCCCAAGAAATCACTCTTACAATATCTGGTTGGTATTTTTAATGATGTTTAATGATACCAGATCTCCATTTTATAAAGTAGCTATACAGTGGCATTTGAGGATATTTTCACTGTCCACAGCTTTCCCATGGTGTATTTTTTTTATATTCATCAGCTTTAAAAGATATTCCCCATATCTGCTTTTGAAAACCAAATACATTTGATTTGAGGAGGCGTGTTAGGTTGGTTTCCTATTTTATTCATAGTGTTGGTTCAACAGATACTTTTCTCAGTGGCAAAGCCCATATAACCAGTTCTTATTTGCTCGCGGTGCCTCACTTGAGGTAGTGCAACTCCTGGATAATACTGGGGTGGGAAAAAGTATGGCAGGCATTGGAGATAAGTTTACTTAATCTAGTTTTGTTTAAACGCCTGTGGAACCATGTTCTAATAGATGTTCTGACCATTTTTTGAGGTATACGGTTCAGCCTTTATAATACGTAGTTAATACTTCAGGTTTCTTGTGAAAAAATTCAGACCAATTTTCTTACTGCCTTTAAGAGACTGATCCTATATACATTATAAATAGCTTTCCACTTCTGCCAAAGACAGTTTGTATTTTGTATCGTTACATTTCTTTAATAGATCCAGTATAGTCTTCAGTGCTTTTCTCTTTCTTTTTTCTTTTTTCTTTATTTCTTTTTCTCTTCTCTTTTTCTGTTTTCTGTGACATGTTTAGTTTTTTTAAGTGTCATGACAATAATGTCCATGTTAAGGTGTTATGTTCCCCCATCTATGTTTTTCCTGCTTGTTAATGGATGTTCGCTCATTAAGATAATGGAGTACAGCTGTCCAACAACTGATAGAATCTGCTTTTGGTTTCTGTATGTTCTATGTTTGTTGACCATTCCACAAAATTAACACTGTGAAAGTGATGTTTTTTCCAAAAGAGGACAAGTTCAATGCAATTCATTATCTATATAGTAGATGTAAAAAAAAAACAAAAAACAAAAAACAAAACAAAAAAAACCCTCACATTTTAACCATTAGCCTTTAGTTTGCTAGGTTATATGGTTTCATGGAGTTGGTGCCTTCAATCTAACTAAGCAAGATCAGTATTTGTGTAATTATTAATACGCACAGGCATTTCTCTACATGTTACTATCTAGATACGCATAATTACATCTGTATTAAAAACTTGTTGACCCTCTGCATAAAAATCTTCATGTGTAGAAATGAATTTTTTATTTTGGTTGTATTTTCTACTTTTGTTATTTTATGATTACTTTTTTATAGTTCTAAGTACAGTAGCAGAGTAACGTTGAGACATTTCCAGTTATAATAGGACTAATTTCTATTCAGGCCAAGATCTTATTCAGCATAATTCTGGAAGCAGTGATCTGAATAGTGGCTTAAGGCTGACAGCGCCAACTATCAACAGTCAGACTACAGGTGCTACATTAACTATAAGCAATGACCAGCTTCTTTCTCAGGGCACTTCACTAAATGCTCCAGGTATGCATACAATGATTTTTCTAATTAACGATAATAACATTTTGTTAAAAAATAGATGTTAGACCAGGTAACTAAATCTGAAATGGTATAATCTTGCACATTACGCTTCAGGAACTACATGGCTCTGTGTTTTCTCACTGGCCTTAAATTGTTATGCCAATTTAAATGAGCTTTACTCCACAGAGTAAGAAGAAAATGAAAACAAGAAGGTGTATCTAAAATTAGTACTTTGAGGCAGTTACAGGAATATTGAAGGACTATTTCTGTAAATTGAAGGATGAAGAAATCTGCTAATGTGCTGCAGACATGATAAAATGTCCTTTATATCAAATTTGATCTAGTATTCAAATTTTGATATTTTAAATATGCATATGAATTTCTTTTTATATATACACACAAACACGTGTGTGTATGTATATAGTCATTCATACTTTCAACCAGTGCAGCAGGTTGCATTGGTTGCACTGATTGGTTGCAGCAGTTTGCACTAATACAGACTTATTACTGATATGTAAATAATTTTCTTCACTCTTATGCATACTTAAATTTTCTGTCTTCCTTTTCCTTTCGTCTGTCTCCTTTCATAGCTTCCTTTAGTGCACATATACATCTATAAAGCAAATCTGCTTTAATGTCATACTGGGGGAGGCTTACCCCAGCGTATCCTGTACGATTAGAATGTTAAGACATGCTCTTGTGTAGTGAATTAGTAAATGAAATAGTAAAACCAGACAGTTTTGTTATAACTTCTGTCTCATCTTCTCAGGTTTTTGAGGCTTATTATAAACTGAGAGCTGTGAGGCCTCTAGTCACATGTTGGAGAATATATAAAAAACTATTACAGAGCTATTACAATCTTTGTAATCTGTATAATCTATAAACTGTAATGAAATACCTATTAGCAATACACTGGCCTTTTTTGCTAGTATAGATTATCAACCGTGTTGCAAGGATAGGATGGGAGCGTTGGGTTACGGAGTTTTCAAATTTTGGTTTTAGTGCTACGAGTCAAAGTGTATTTCACTGAAGGTGGTCACACTACAGAAATGTGTAACCTGAAACTTCTTCAGGTGTCTTTTTGGCATTGAGTCATCTCCCACACGCCATGTTACAAAGTTATTGCTTTGCAGTGTGATGTCCATCAAGCTATATTTAAATGTAATTTTTCTAATTTTATCATCTGACTCTCTGACACTTTTTGACACATGATTAGCTGTTTAACTGATTTATTTGCTTCCAAAATAGAAAGGCCTAACAAAAGAGAAATAGAAATTAAGTTCAATTAAAATAAGTTTGCAGCTAAGAGTTTATGTATGTAACAGATTTTTTTTTTTTTTTTTTTTTTTTTTTTACTATTTTGCATATATTCCAGAACTTAATACAACAGGTGGAACGAGCCTTCCTTCAACAACACCCATATCTCAGTCTACAGTTTCTGCCCAGAATTTGGTAATGTCTTCATCAGGAGTCGGAGGAGATGGTAGTGTCACCTTGACTCTTGCTGACACTCAGGGAATGTTGTCAGGTGGTCTTGATGCAGTTACACTTAATATCACTTCACAGGTAAGAAATGCTTTTCTGAAGTGACAGATAAACTAACATTACTGTCTTACAGGTCAGGAATAGGAGATTTTGCTTAGAAAATAATTTTGTCCTGTAAAGACGTTGTATTTGAAAACTCAGTTAACTTTCCTTCTTTCTGACAACAGTGTGTGCGCACTGGCATCTAGAAGCATAAAATATTTAAACAGAAATACAGATAAATTTTGCAGGGTTTTTTTTTTTTTGCAATGAACAGATAGGTTCTACTGTTTCAAACATTGTTTGAGATCAATTTTTAGTGATAAACTAAACTGTGTACTTCATCATCGCTATTCAGTAATATATCTTAGTATTCCTAAACTTTTTATTGTTTAATCTGGTAAATTTTTCGTTTACTTCTTGTGAACATGAGAGTTGAAGAGCAGTTGCGACAGTTCCTTTCGCAGCAAATAACAGGACAGAATTTAAATTAAATAGACTGTCTTTAATAACAGGTAGCGTTATAAGAAATTTTTATAAGAATAGTGCTGTATGGACTATCATCCCTCCAGAAGCTTTAGCACTAGTTTTGTTTTTATCATAATCTAATGTGGTGTCATCAAGAGCTAAAGATGTGTTGGCAAATAGAATGCATAGAGCGGAGAGGGGAAAAAACCCAATCAGTAAACAATATTAGAAGACTAGAAAGTGAAAATTTAGGGTCATTGTGTGGTTGGCATTTCAGTGTAGATTTGACATCTGAAAACTTGGGCAGTTTCTTCTACTTTCTTGGCTGAACTAGGTTTAGATTGTTTTTTACTTTTTGACCCAAATTAAAACATGTAAATGTATATAAATGATAGGCTATTTGTCTAGCATATGGTATAATTAAACCTGGTGAAGCAAAGTCTGAGGATGGTTATATGCTTCCCTCTCTGCAGTTTTGCTCTGGGGAGGGGAAGAAAAGACTTCTTAAATAGTTCTTGTGACATATTTGTGATTTCTGGCATCACAGAGTAACAAAGCAACATGCGGTTTCATTTCAGACTTTGTAATAGTTTAAGCAGTTACATTTGGCAGTGTTGATGTTTATTAATAAGACACTATGCCTGATGTTAAGGCAAGCATAAATAAAAATGTAACATTGTTCTGGGTACTATGCAAACACAGTCTATGTTGCAGGAATCTTGATAAGTAGACAGGTAGTACATAAAGGTACTGTGTTTCCTGGGGAAATTGAAAAGTCTTTAACGGTAATGTAGAAATAGAAGTAGTGTGATATTAGTAATTGTGTGTCTTAATTAGTAATTTTGTACCTTGATTTCATGTACTTTGGAAGTAGGTTTAATTAAGAGATTTAAAAAAAGGGAAATATTGTGGGAAGACCATGCAGGAAAGCAGAATAGAGGGGTTAAAGAAAGTATCAGCTAGAGAGACAAAGACAAGGGAAGGCTGAGACATTCAGCAATTGATGCAAGGCTGGGAAAAATTAATCAGAACTGAATCTCTACTCTTACAGATTTCCAGCTGTTGTTACCCTTCAATTGGTAGACTTAAAATGGAAGGAGAAAAGGAAAGAAAACAGTAGTATTTGTTCAAATAGGATTCTGGAATGGACTTTTTCAAGGGAAAAAAAAAAAGTAGTTTTGAGGTATAAAAATAATTTACATGACTACAGCTAGCTGCTTAACTACAGTTATTGTACCTTTCTTTTTCTTTTCTCCCCTCTTTGACAGGGTCAGCAGTTCCCTGCTATACTCACAGATTCCAGTCTCGCTAGCCAAAGTGGGTCAGGCTCACAGCAAGTCATACTGGTGAGCCATACACCCCATTCAGCATCTGCAAACTCTGATGAAATAACGTATCAGGTAGATGCAATATATTTCTGTATCTTTTGTGGGTAAAGGACATTATGTAATCAAAATACTGGAATGATTCCTCTATATCCTGAAGCAGGAAGGCTGATGTCATTTCCAAGTAAGAGTATTGGGAAGAGGTTAATTGTGACTTCTTAGTCACCTAGATTCCGTTTTCAGTTTTGAGTTAAAAACACTTTTTTTATATACAAAAAAGAAATGCAATTAATGTGTTTCTTTCTACAAATTACATAACCATGCTGTCAACACAGACTGCTCCAAAAATTTCCAAGTAAGTTTGTAATTAGATAATAAAAATAGACAAAGTTGAGCACTATGGAAAAACATAGCACCTATTGCTACATCTTTTCCTTTCTCTTTTAGTAACCAAATTGCTTCAATAGTGGAGCAGTATGAAGTCTTTTCAACTTCTTATGTATTTGAATTTCAATAGAAACTTTTGCATATGTAATACAGTATTAATATTAGAAAAAGTAGTTCAGACTTCTCTTGTTGAAGGCAAAATGAATGTTTTCAACTAACCTGGTAATGCAAGCTCTAAAATAGGAAAAATGGGAGAGGCAGATGGTGACCCACAATCAAGTGAAGAAGTGGTGGACTGGATTGGCAAGCAAAGGGCAAGATGTGGGCAAGTTGTGGCTGATATGGGCAAGAGAAACCTCAAAAATAATAAGCGCTGAAGGGAGGGGGCCTACCTCAAGTGTATGTGTATGAATAAAGGTGCCGAGACAACAATATAATAGAAGAAACTTCAACACTTTTCTTGGAAAAATTGTCACAACTGACAATTTGGGCCTCTCTGAAGTGCCTGTACGCTGATGCATGCAGCATGGGGAAAAAACAGGAGGAGTTAGAGGTCTGCATGCAGTTGCAGGGCTGTGATCTCATTGGAATCAGAGAGACAAGGTGCTACAGCTCACACAACTGAAGCGCTGCCGTGGCTGGATTCAGGATCTTTAGGAAGGACAGACTGGCAAGACGGCAGCAGGAATGCATGGAGCTCTGCCTGGAGGGTGAGCCAACTGAGACCTTACGGGTAAGGATTGGCAAGCAAACCAACATGGGTGGCACTGTCATGAATACTAGCCATCTGCTACAGATCAGAAACAGATAGAAGATGAGGTTTTCATCTTGATCTTGGGCAAAGTGTCCTAGCTGAGTAGAGTGTCCCTTCTTGAGTAGACGAGTTGGACTAGATGATCTCAAGAGGTCCTTTCCAACCTAAACGAATCTGTGATTTGCAGTCCCTGGTCCACATGGGTTACTTGAACCTGCCTAAGATCTGCTTCTGGAAGGGCAACAAGCAGGGCAAAAGGAATCTGGGAAATTTCTGGAGTGCGTTGATGATAACTTCCTGATACATATGACTGAAGCCAGCAAGTGAAAGTGTTCTTCTGGGCCTGATAATTGCAAACAAGGAAGAACTGATTAGGAATGTGAAGGTCAGGGACGTCCTTTGTTGCAGTGACCATGAGATGGTGAAGCTCAGGATCCTGAGGGAAGGAAATAAGACAAATAGCAGGATCACAACCCTGGGCATGAGGAGAGCAGACTTTGGTCTGTTCAGGGTTCTGCTTGGAATAATCGTATGGTAAGCAGACCTGGAGAGAAAGAGGACCAGGAGAGCTGGTTGATTTTAAATGTTGTCCTCCTCCAAGCTAAAGAATCGTCAATCCCAATGTGTAGGAAGTCAAAGGCGACAGGAGGCCAGCATGGAGGAACAAGGAGCTCCTGACAAAACCCAGATTTAAAGAAGCAGCATACATAAGTGGAATCAGGATCAGGTGACTTTGAAGGAGTACAGAGACACCATTCAAGGAGGCAGGGATGAGTTTAGGAAACCCAACGCCCATCTGGAGTTGACTCTGAAAGGGACATAATATGTAACAAGATGGACTTTTACAGGTATATCAGCAGCAAAAGGAAGATGCATTGTCTTGCTGCTGATTGGGGCAGAGGACCTGGTGACAGAAAACTTGAAAAAGGGTGATGTACTGAGTGTCTCTTTTTGCTTCATTTTTACTGGTTTGCTTCATTTTTGTTTTCTGCAATCCCAGATCACCAAGATCAGTGGGAAAGGGTGGAACACTGAATATCTACCCTCAATAGAGGGGGATCATGCACAAATCCATTGGTGATGGGATACATTCATGAGTGCTGAGGGAGCTTGCTGATGTCATCATCAGACCACTGTCTATTATCTTTGAAAAGTCATGGTGGTTGGGAGAGGTTCCTGAGGACGTGGAGAAAGCAAGAGTTACTCCTGCCTTCAAGAAGGGCAGGTTGGAGAATGTGGGGAATTACAGGTCAGTCAGCCTCACCTCAATCCCTGGGAAGGTGTTGGAGCAAATAATCCTGGAAAGCATTTCCAAACACATGAAGGACAAGAAGCAGAGATTTATGGAGGGGAAAACATGCCTAACTGACCTGAGAGCCTTCCACAATGAGATGACTGGCTTGCTGGATGAGGGGAGCAGTGGATGTGGTTTGTCTTGACTTTAGTAAGGCTTTTGATGTTGTCTCCCATAACCTCCTTGTAGGCAAGCTGATGAAGTATGGGCTAGCTAAATGGAACAGTGAGGTGGATTGAAAACTGCCTGAACTGCTAGGCATGAAGAGGTTCTGATCCATGAAACAAAGTCCATCTCAAGGCCAGTCACTAGTGGTGTTCCCCCAGGTTCAAATACTGGGGCCACTACTATTCATTAATGTTTTTCATTAGTGATGTGCGTGATAGAACAGACTGCATGTTCGGCAGGTTTACAGATGATAGAAAACTGGAAGGAGTGGTTGACAGACTGAATGGGTGTGCTGCCATGCGGAGGGACCTTGACAGGCTGGAGAATTGGGCCAACAGGATCTTCATGAAGATCAGCAAAGGGAGGTGCAAAGTCCTGCCCCTAGAGAAGGACAACCCCATGCACTAGTACACACTGAGGGCAGCAGGAAAGCAGCTTTTCAAAGAAGGACCAGGGGTACTGGTGGGCAAGTAGTTGACCGTGAGCCAGCAATGCAGCAAAGAAGGCCAACGCCATCCTGGGATGCATTAAGAAGAGCGTTGCCAGCTGGTCAAAAGGGTTGATGCTCCCCTCTTCTCAGTACCAGTGAGAACACATCATCTAGAGTGCTGTGTCCAGTCCTGGGCCCCCCAGTACAGGAGAGGCATGGATATATAGGAGTGAGTGCAGTGGAGGGCTACAAAGATGATTAAGGGATTGGAGCATCCGACATAGAAGGAGAGGCTGAGAGAGCTGGGACTGTTCAGCTTAAAAGAGAGCAGGCTCTGGGTGGGGGGTTCTTATCAATGTGCATAAATACCTGATGGGAGGGAGTAAAGCAGACGGAGCCAGACTCTTCCTGGTGATACCCAGTGAAAGGACAAGAGGCAATGGGCACAAATGAAAATAATTCAGTCTGAGCATAAAGAAACCCTGTTTTACTGTGAGGGTGGTTGAACCCTGGAAGAGGTTGTCCAGGGAGGTTGTAGAGTCTCTATCCTTTGTGATATTCAAAATGTGTCTGGGCATGGCCCTGAATGTGCTCTAGGGACACTGGACTAGATGATCTCAAGCCATCCCTTCCAACTTGAACTATTCTATGTTTCTGACAACATCTTGTGCATATGATTTTTACATTTGCATATGCTTATGAGTGTGAGTTCTTAACAATGTTAGTGTTCAAATACTCTGTGAAGGTGGATGTTTTAAAATTTAACATGAACATATTTTCTTACTCTTCTGAATTTAAAACTAGATTTTGTGTCTTTCAATATATATGCTTTCATAAATTAGGGTGCCATTTCATAAGGCTTATTATAATGTCACTTTTAAAGTGTGACTGTGTCTGAGTAGCAGTATTGTAATAACAGTCAAAATGTAGCAGTAATGTAAACTAGTTTTCCTGTGATGTCATCTGTTTTATTTAATCATGGTGACTGTATTGATTGACTTTCAATATTTCACCCTTTTCCCAAGAGCTTCAAACTAGTTGGAAACAAACACACACACACACACACGCGTGCACGCAGGCACATGGGATTTTTTTTGTCATTTCTTTCAATATGTTTTATATTGCATCTTTACTTTCTAGTATGGTTAATATTCTAACTATGTTCTGTATCTTTTCAAGTTTAGTTCATGCTGAATAATTCATTTAGAGTACTACTACCTTTATCTTTCCTTCATCTTCATTTGTTTTTTTCTATAAGTTAACGTATTCAAGATTCTTTTGTATCTATAAAGTTGAAGGAATTTTGTGTTATTTTATTTGAAGAAAGTGAAATTTTTCCAAACACTCCTCATTGATTATAACAAAACAAAAATGCAACACAACCCCATTCAAATTCTATCAACTTTTCATTGTGTTTCAGTACTTCTGGAACTTTGTGTTGGTAGCTCGGAGCTTTACTGCCTTACGAAAATAGAGTCCCCAGTGAAGAAATTAAACAAATTGAAAATATTCTTCTCCTCTGTAAATCAGAGATACTTTCTTTTTTGTCTGAAATGTTTTTGGCTTTGAATTTTGTTCAGTGAGAAATGTGAGAATCATCTGAGATGCTCAGGAATATAAAATTGAATGTAGGAAAATATTGCTACAAACACATTCTATTTATAATGCATAAATGAATTTGATCATAGTTACAATCTTTCTGTTTTCTTAAAATACACATATGTGTCATTCTTAAGAGCAATGAAATGCAAGTTCATATTTACATACAACTTATTTATTTCCTTTGTGTAGGTAAGTTGCTTTTGCAAGTACTCTCCAAAAATCGGTCACGTTGAGGTAGATTTTGAAAAATAAACCACTGTTGTGGATGTGCCTATGAAATTATTTGACAGTGTTTTTGTAAATTGTTACAGGTGACAGAGGTTTCTCCTAACGTGACTAAAAGCAGTCAAGCAGAAAAAGAAGGTCGCGTGCACCAGTGTTTTGAGTGTAGTCAAACCTTTTCTTCAGCCACCATGTTGATGCACCATAGTAAAGAGGTTCATGGCAAGGAAAGAATACATGTTTGCCATGTGTGCAATAAAGCCTTTAAGCGAGCAACACATCTCAAGGTATTTGGTAATAACAGTTGATTGTTCTGTTAGCTCATTCTTTTGTTTTGGATTTTTTGCCATATTAATGAAAGGTACCTATTATCCCTTTACCTTTCCTTTTACAGTGTGAGAGTTGTGCATCTGAGAGTGATAAGTGATAACGTATACACAGATAGAGAACTCTTTCCTGGAGCATGGAGAGGATTTTAATGCATATATTGACTACAAAATGTAAAATGTGAATGCCTGTCATGCAAATAATAGTGCCAGAAAAATATTTCGCTTACTTTATTTGCTTACGTATGTCATCACTGCTAATCCTGATTTCCAGATAAGCTTTTGGAATCATAGGAAGCTATCTGCTTTGCACTCTATCATTTGATTTTTCAGATGCTCTGTCTTGTGAGTACAAGTGACATCTGCAGAGGAAGTATTTGTTTTAAAATATCCTTACATTATTACTGTTGTCTAGTGATATTTTCTATGTAGTTTTCTCTAGATTATGAACTACCTGATACTTCCACGTCTTTTCAAAAAAATCAGCGGTGTGTTTAAGTTTTTAATTAGATTATAGAATGTTCCTGTTAAGAATATTGGGCTGCACTAGATAAATGGTATGTCCAGGCCAGTATCCTATCTTTGAGAGATACTAAAAGGCAGAGATTTGAAGAAGTGTTTTACGAAAAGAGCAAACATATAACGCAACTTGCCCAGAATTTTGCCAGCTTCCAAGAATTTGTAGCAGGAAACTTCTGGAGCCAGAGGCAATGTCTTTATATTAGGTAGCTCTTAGGAGAACTTTTCAATAGATTTCCTTTCACTTTAGTATCGTATTTTTAGGAAATACCCTGTTTGTCAAGTTCACCCCCTTAGAGTGATCATGTGTGTCAACCAGACTATTGGTCCTTGGGGAAACTGTCACAAAATGTGATATTGTGAAACTGTTAACCTCTGGTTTAGGATAAATTTTCCAGGAAAAACAAAAAAATAAATACAGCGTTGATACTTGTATTCCTTAAGTAACAATAACAAAACCCCAAATATCAGTCTCTCTTCGGTTTGCTTTCTTAGAACTGGCTGGTGTTACACTTTTTTCGTAATTAAACCTTGACTTCTATTATATACTGGGCCTGGGTTAAAGATATGACAAGGAAAATTCCTACCCTGGTACAGCCCTTGGATTATTATCCATTATTGCTTTTTCATGTAGGCAGTGATGAAGTTGCGATAAGAAGTCCAAAGGCGATCAAAAGAGGCTTCAGGGCCTTGGGACGACTGGTTAAGGGATCAGGAGCACAAGTAGTGTTCTCCTCTATCCTTCCAGTTGCAGGGAATGATGAGGGAAGAAACAGGAAGACCCAGCAGATCAATAACTGTCTCCGAGGCTGGTGTCACTGGCAAAATTTTGGATTTTTTGATCATGGGTCTGTGTACGCGACACCAGGCCTCCTAGAGAGAGATGGGGTACACCTGTCTCAAAGGTGGAAAAGGATCTTTACGCAGGAGTTAGCAGGGCTCATTGAAAGAGCTTTAAACTAGATTTGAAGGGGGAAAGGGATAAAATCAGGCTTGCTAGATATAAGCCTGAGGGCAACATGCCAATGTTTGAGGGACAGTGTGCTAGCGAGGTCCTTCAGTCTGCTCCACGATGTGCTGAGTACACTGGAGCACATTTGAAACGTCCCTGTAACTAATGCATGCAGCACCCCTAGCCATCTCAGTGGAGATAGGGGATGGAGATCCACATGGCAGAAAAGACACAAGGGTTGTTGATGTGTTAGAAACCATGGAAGCGCCTTAGAACAGTCACATAGGAATTAGGGCTTCTCCCCAAAAAAAGGTGGCAGGATCAATAGCCTAACTGAAGTGCACCTACACCAATGCTCACAGCAGGGGCAACAAACAGGAGGAGCTGGAAGCCATTGTGCAGCTGGAAAACTATAATATAGTTGCAATCAACATGGTGGGATGAGTCTCACGACTGGAGTGCTGCAATGGATGGCTATAAGCTCTTCAGAAGGGACAGGCGAGGAAGGAGAGGCGGTGGGGTAGCCCTCTATGTTAGGGAGTGTTTTGACTGTCTAGAGCTTGATGATGCTGATGAAAAGGTCGAGTGATTATGGGTAAGAATTAGGGGGAAAGCCGACAAGGCAGATATCATGGTGGGAGTCTGTTACAGGCCACCCAACCAGGATGAAGAGACAGATGAAATATACTATAAGCAGCTGGGAGAAGTCTCACTATCACTAGCCCTTGTTTCCATGGGCGACTTCATCTTCCCAGATGTCTGCTGGAAATACAATACAGTGGAGAGGAAACAGTCCAGGAGGTTCCTGGAGTGGTTGGAAGATAACTTCCTGACACAGTTGGTGAGGGAGCCAACTAGGGATGGTGCCCTGCCGGACCTGTTTTTTGTGAACAGAGAAGGACTTGTGTGTAATGTGATGGTTGGAGGCTGTCTTGGGCATAGCGACCATGAAATTAGATAGAGTTTTTGATTCTTGGAGACGTAAGGAGGGGGATTAGCAGAACTGCTACCTTGGGCTTCTGGAAGGCAGACTTTGGCCTGTTTAGGAGCCTGGTTGACAGAGTCCCTTGGGAGGCCGTCCTGAAGGGCCAAAGAGT